TGGTCCGATCAGCTTCCCTATCACTTAATTAAATACATTTGTAAAATATAAACTTCAGTCCGAATTTATTATTGAAAGGGCTTTTAACATATTAATGTTTTACGTGATAGACTCAGAAGCATTTCTTCTAATTGATATCATTGTAGCTACTACACGTGTTTAAAATAATTTCAAGAATCTGTACTTTCAATAAAAAGGTGTACGGAGATTGTTTACCAAATAGGACAAGTTAGGATGAACAGAACTTTTATTTTTTTAAACAGACTGTCCGTTTAATATGATTAATTGCTAATAAATTAAAAAAAATATAGAAAAATAATAGTGAAGGACATTCTTTTGGGCATGCTAGGGCCGATTTCGTCGATGTCCTTTGTTGGTGTTAAGTTACATATTCATATTTATCATAAATTTCATTATAAATAGGGTTTATTTCGAATTATTATGTGTATGAATCAAATCTTAACTCATTCGTCTCCAGCACAGTTTTATACTTCAGCAGCTTTGACCGTCTTTTATAATGTCTTTTTTGTGAAACAAAGGTTATTATTATTATATAATTCCGGTGACACCACGTTTCATATATTAACAGACAGGTGATCTGTCTGATACTCGCTTCGCGTCGCGTCGGCCGCGTAAGATACGTTTCACAACTGCGCGCGTAAGCCGCCCGGTGAAAAGATTTGATGGCGGGGTTAGAGATTTATGTCAAGGATCATAAAGCCGGGATCGGGGGATTTCAGACCTCCTAACATCCGACTGTGCCCTTTGTGGTTGGAGCACTATCCGGCTTCACTTCACTTTGTACCTCTTACTTCGCTGCCACTTACCTCGCGGGACGTTTTAATTCCATTTCGAGGAAAATCCGCGGTCAGTCGAACCCTAGGGTATACGTACTGGATGTGAAGACGCCCCCGCCTTTTGATATCAACGCATTTGTTAATTTGAAATGTACTTGAATCTAAAGAAAAGTTTTACTAGAAAAGATTTGAACATCTAGCAGTTAAACACTTAAATAAAATAAAAAGATAAATGTACTTGAATCTTTATTCTGCTGGAGGGTACATATCAGATGTACGAATTACTATTTCTGGCAAGTTTCGATAATTTTTATGTGTTACGTACTTTATTTCTTGTTTTTTTTCTTCACTTGAACCACACCTACGCATAATTTGAAACTTTTCATTCCTTTTTTTTCTAAATGTGAAATGTAAGTAATATATTTGCTTGACATCATAGTTTTTTGTAAACAACATATAGTCCGAGAAATTTAGCAAGAAAGAATTTTAATTCAAATAGAATAACTTCTAGCTTACGTAAAACCTTAAAGTTATCTAGCTGAGCATGAACAAACTGCGTGAAAATTTTACACCACTAAAACTTTAAAGCATGCGACACAGAATAAACAAGAGAAAATCATAAAAATGTTGCGCTGACACAGTGAGCTCGTTAGCTCAGCGGTTACGAGGATTTAACGAGTAGCAGACTTATTACAGGCAACCGAACTAATGCAACGTTATTACTCCATCGATAGATCTGTCGATGGCGTCTTTATCGGGCTATAAACACTACCCTATTGGATGTAAACAGAGGTTAGTGCTTACTAGACAATGTTTACTAAGGGATTGTTGATGGTATGATAAGTATTCACAACATTATCACTAATTAGTGTTATCAACACCGAAACAGGTATTACTTACGTAAATACTGAAATAGGTAGTAAATATTCTATTCTGTGTAAGCCTCCAATCAGTATAGACGCATTAATTAGCAAAAATTTGCGGTTGAATTTGTAAGCTAATCCTTTTATAGTGGAAACGTTATTTTGTAATCCGTATAGCTATTTGACTATATGCAAAAGTTAGTGCATAAATGAATTTACTGCATTAAGAGCTAACATACAAGCTGCGAGTTGCGATTTACAACATTGTTTCTACATAAGAGGGCTAATTTGCAATGCACAGGTTTGTGGAAATCTACTCTTTTGGCTTTAATGTCACATCCGGTTTTGAAATAACAATCAGCCAAATTACTTAGTGAATATTTTATTATTGAGAATAACCTAGTTTTTGATATTTATGCCATCTTAATAACTGAGTGCTGTAATAAGAAAAATAGGATAGATTACATTGATAATAAGTAGAAAAAACATATTATGTCGAATATAAGTCATGAGAATTTAATATTCTAAATATTTTTTAATGCTTTCGCAACTTTTTTACATTATTTTATACCTAAGTCTAAATGTATATTCAAAACACTTAGCTATACTATTCTCAATGTGGAACGTATTTTATTTACTATGTATAGTGTTAACAACTTAGAGATCACAATTAAATTTAATGCTTGTCAAAGTGACGCTTTATATGTTTCTACTGCAATATGTCAACTTTGATCAAACTTAATTAAATGTGTAAATAATTGATTCACTTGATTGTTAGTAGGTATTATAAATATCACATAAATCTCAATACATCTGAAATATTTTTCAAAATTATTGTTGAAATATGAGATTACTAGCGGCCGCCCGCGACTTCGTACGCGGGGAGTTAGAAATAAAGGTTCACTGCTCGTTCCCCGTACGTGATAACCTATATGTTGACCCGACTTCTTAATAATATTCGTGCCAAATTTGAAGTAAATCCATGCAGGACTTATTGAGTTTATCCCGGACATACATATAGACAAACGGACAAAAATTCTAAAAACTATTTTTTTGGCTTCGGTATCGATTGTACACACACACACCAAAAGTATTTCTTTTAAAAATAATCAATGTACAGTTTTGACCTTCCTACCATTTTATTGTATGTATAGATTGTTGGCCTTTGTACCTAATCGGTTTTTGAAAAGTCATGTTACATTTTAGTTAGTTATATTTAAGCAGGTAAACTTTTCCTAAGCAGGTGATTAACGAAGCGACTACTGCGCTTGCTCGCTTAGCGGATTGGTACGAGTAGCTTTAGTAAGATTTCACTAGTTGCGTTGCCACTATATCTCAATTCTGCGTGGGGTTTCCCACTTCTACTTGTTACTTGATGTCGACCATATATTTTTATTACTTCGCTATTAGGCGAAATTAATGTCCTATGCGAATGTAATGAACCTGCAGTCGAATAACACGCGGTCTACGGCAAAGTCAAATGGAAGGGATCATGATTTTAGTAGTCTTTAATTATGTAATAAGATAAATATTGTAGCAATCAAAGTTGTGAACCAGTTTCGATAAATGAGGAGTCAAACGATTTCTTATTGTGGCCCGAAATATAATATCAAGTTAATAAGTATACATTTTTAAATTCAAAAGCATTATAGCAGATGTTAAAGTAAACCCAAAATGTATGATTTGAGCAGTCACGGAACAGCAAACTTATTGTTGTCGTGAATACATCTATTGTTTTCCGTTTCTAAATCTTAGCTAGTACAATTTTACCGTTATCGAAATTATTTTTGGTACTTAAAATGATTTTAAGCCGGCATAAAAAATGGTAGTTTGCCTACTTATTCTAATAGAAAAATGTTCTTTCTGCCACTTACGAAATACAATGCAGGTACGCTTACTTTATTATTATTATACGACAAGTTAATAATACTATTTTGTTGCATGATTTACAATCTCAAAACTTTAACACCTAGGTATAAAATCAACACTAAAGTCAACTAAATTAAGCTCAATAGAATCGGACGTTAAGAGAGACTAATTAGAATGCATAGTCAACTCTCATTTTAGAATTCATTAGCAAACTGGCGAATGAACGGAACAACACCATTGACGAGTGAATAATTACCTAAACGTCGCGTCGGCATACAAGTAAACGATAGCGTCGCCAACAACTTTAAATCAGTACCCTTAGCACGAAAAAATATCGAATTCGAATAGTTTGCGAGTTCGAAATATCATTGTCAAATGTCTACTGATTTTTAGTTTTCGTTACGTACTTTGTGGTGCTGCTGTTCAAGTTTCCATGCAAAATTTGACATTGACATTTATCACTCGCAAACTATTCGAATTCGATAATGGTTCGTGCTAGGGGTACTGATCGAAATCAACAAAACAAAAAGAAACACGCTCTCCCAATCGGTTAAAACAAAGTTACCGGCAGCGATTCATAACATTCTGCGGCTGCAAATACAAAAAAAGCTCAATAATTATGCTCGTAAACCGAGTTTGCGGAAGCCGCAAAACGAAATTTAATTTGCCCTGAACGCTGCATCAGAAATAAAGTTAAAATAGTCGCTGCAGTAGGCAGTCGCACGGCCAACTTCTAACGCAAATGAATAGCGAATGGGAAAAGTTGAGCCGAGAAAAATGATGTCCCACCAGCCCGCTATTGTCGCCGTAGCGGGCCGCTCTGTTGTTTCCTGATATTATCGTACTTAACTTACTAAATGTGCAGAAACGCTGCGCTCCTGTCAAACGTACAAAGGGAACTATTGGAGCACGGCTGGATCGCGCAACATGTACTGCATGCTGTTGTAAATGCTATCATATTAAAATTTTCAGCGTCTAAACTCAATGCTTTATATTAATTTATTATCATGATTAAATAAATCATGATTGTATTATCTTTGCAACAGCATAATGATTTGTAAATGTTTGTTACATGGTCCTTTTAATGTTGTGAAGGTTTTTCGATCGTTTTTTCGCCGCAGCTAAAAATATGTCCAATAACGAGTGGTAAGGAAAAAATTTTGACTATTTAAAAGAGTCGTACTATGCATCCAATTTGAATAAAGATATTTTGACTTTTTATTTTAGCTTATATATTAACAATTATGTTAAGTCTTTTTGCATATTACACGAAATTAATGCATCAATACCTAAACCGAACATCAAAATTTTCTGAAATCAAATTTGAATAGAGAGGCACTGTACACATATACGAGTATGTATAGTTCGGATAGCAGTCGCTAAAGTGAATGAAACGTGCGGCAATAGAGAACTTTGCTTTATAGCGTAAGTTTTCAAATAGTTAAATAAAAACAAAGTTTTTAGCGCTTACCGTTTTCGCTGTTTGTGCTGACACAGTGTCTGGATACTGGATGAGTGCTTGGAATGAATCTGTGAATGACACATACCGCTATTAATAATAATAAATAAAATACATAAAAGTTTACCTAAGTAAGTCACATTATAAAATCAAAAGCAAAAAAATAATCAAGTTTCTATTACATTATTCAACGTAGCCGAAAATTAACAAATAAAACGGCCGCAACTTATCTTCAAAAGCTTTTAGTTGGAATTAGATAAATACACGTTTACAATGTTACAAAACAACTTAAGTAATGCTAGTGTAAAGTGTTCGAGTGTTGGTTGTCTCACAGAATTCTTGACAGGCAATATCTTGTTCATAAGGACGTTCAAACAAGGTGAAATTGGCGCCCAACGTGGTGCTACGCGATCCGCCGTGTACTCGAGTTAGTTGTTTGTCTCAGGTGCACCTCAAGTATTTTGTCAACTGTGATACTTCACAAATATATTCGTTTAGAACACATTTTCACACCAGGAAGGAATACGAGAGTGCGCTTGTTATTTTATGCACTAACAACGTATATAACATTTTGTCGGGTTGGCGGGTAGATTTATTTTCGCGATAATTGCGTTTATAATTCCTATCAAACGAATACACGTAATAAAACAGACGGATAATGTTGTCGGAAAAAACACATTAAGACCGAAAACCACTATAAACAATTGTGGAATAGCAAGGAGCATGGTCGGAGCCCACGAGTAATATAGTTCGTCCTTTAGTCTATTTACTGCGAGAGGATAAGCGTTAAACCCCCTAATTTAAGGCATGAGCCGGGCGATCATTGCCGGCCGGCGGGCGGCACATAAATTCACATTTTTAGGAAACATCGCAAACAGGCACCACCTGCGTGGCCGCGCTAGGTGCCAATGAGGTGGTGTCGCCACGGTCACAATATCAGCACGTTCTCTATTGAATTATATTTATTTTGGTAGCGCTAGAGTTGCTTGCTTCCAGATAACTGAATAGCAGTCTTCGGTTTAAGGAGTAGAATTAAATTTCCTGCGAACGACGGATTCGATTATATTATGTTTTATTAATAAATTTAGTATATTATTTAAGCATTGATAATAAATAAATATTTCCAACACACACACCAATTAGCCTAGCCCCAAAGTAAGCACTATAAGGCTTGTGTTATAGGATACTAGGGTAACGGATAGAATACATATATTGTGCATATATAAGTATATTTATATAGTCGTCGTCAAAAATTATAAACATTAATTAATTTACAAAATAACGATTTGTTTTTTCAGAATTTGATTGATTATTTTGAATGATTTGTGTAACGGTATTTCAACAAAATTTATTAAAATAAATCTACTTATAGGATTCTAAAAGAGAACATAAGTTTTTCTTAAATACGAGTACATCTTTGGATTTCATCGTTCTTATTTCACCTCGTACCACCTTTTACTAGGAGAATAGGAGTGTATTTATTTTGGGTAATTTATCTACCTTTACCCGGTCATACCTATAAAATATAAAAAGTAAGAGCACTCAAGGCAAGACCTGTCAGCGTAAATTAAAAGTAACGCGCTGTCTCCTTCATACATAGTTAAATGCTGTTTAAGGCCCCATATTTTCTTTGGGCCAGCCATTTGGGGCCGTTAAAATGGAATGTATAAAGGCTTACCGTAAATTGGAGTTTTTATGTAATTACTTTTTGAATAAGTAAAATGTATTTTTCGGAAAAGAGTTATTATCTAAACAAGTTTCATATTAATATTATATTTTTCTTGTAGTTTGGCTGTTATATTATACAAGTCCAAAATAAGGCATTGTGTTGAGTAGTTATATTGATATTAACGTAACTATAAAAAATAAAGTAATATTTTGTAAAATATATCTCTTATTGATGTTAATTAATATCGTTCCTATCATATATTTTTTAATATCAATAGAATATGAAATGACGAATATCTACAGTTAATCTTGAATAAAAGTTTAATCAAGATTTATTTCAAAATAACGGACGGAAAATCGTTTCGTAAGTATGGCTTGGTTGAGATACCCATAGCTTGAAAACATATTACAGCGTGTCGGTAGCTAGGTGCTCTGCTATGTCAATGCGACGCGAAAGTTTATGCCCTCGGGATAAAGAACCTTTTCCCATTCATGGGTGATAGCAATACTCGAGATGCTTTTTATTTCCGGCTCAGTGCTCTTTGTTTCTCCTCTAAAGAAAAAAATGGGTTTGTGAATTAAACAAAGGAAAGTTTTTTAAGTTCTCCTCTAACTTAAAAAAAACATATTCGCATGTTTGATTGCTTGTTACAGAAATCTACATTGTTTTAGGTTAGTATACCAAACACGAAAAGTTACATACAAACTTTTTCGAACAATAAGATTTGTCCTGATTTATTTATTTGATTAGAAGCTTAAACATTCGGGGAGTTAATTCAATAACTCCTGCGTCTCCAATTCAAATGTGCCCAATCAATCGTCTGTGCGCGGTTCTTGATAATATTTCATTAAAAATTCAACTCACTTGCGCAATCACTTTATGGAATACATTATCTGTCAATGTTTGAATAAACACAGAACCACCAGTAATGGTTAAATTAAAATTTTGTAATTTGCGTTCCGCGTTTTCGCAGCAAAGAGGTAGCTTCCGCTATGTTAATATAACGCGGAGGCGCGGCCCACGACTCGACCGATTACTGCATAATTTGATATCTTAAATCTCGGCGTCTCTGGAATGAGGGACTTCTCGGAACACTGAATGCGTCTTAGTTCGCAATTTGGACGCCCTTTCATTCAGCCCAGATATTTCCGACTGCAGACACAACTTCCAAATTGTTGGAATTCATTAAATATATGCAGGGAAAACAATTTTTCCGTCTACATTGACTACATTTATTTTCCATATAAGTATTTCAGTTATTGTATAGCTAAGAGAAGAAAATCCAGGAATAAAACGTTAGCAGTTACTCATTGTATCAAAATAATAATGTTTGACGGAGGAGCAGAAGTCACGAGAGAAATATACAAGAAACACAGAAGATATCCGTTACCGAATCAAATCCTTAATTACGGGAATCCGAGCGACACAGAGGCGACACCTACCACAAACAGGGGACGCATAATAATTGTAGCGGTCTGCTACACCTTAATAAAGCCAATAGGAATGAGGTCGGGGGAAGGGGGGGATTACGACGACTCCGAGCGCTCTTCATTGAGATTTGTTTCGGGATTAGGAACGCGTTTGATGGTAAACCTCCCGTCAGGTCAGCCGACGTGATAACAGGCCGTTTTTCCGCGTAACGCTTCCAATATTCATATGGTAAAATCCTAACAGAATATTCATTACCCGGCATACAGAGCACGCTTGCAAAATTCAATGTAAAACAGAATTCGGCAACTTCTAAGCGATTAAAGTCATAAGGAATTTATCGCTGTGATGTCGAAGTGTAAATACAAATAAAGGTAAAATATGTAATTTGACAAATCAGAGAAGCCCGCATGTTTATTCGGGGAAGTCGATTGATAACCACTCAAACGGCATGAGCGTTCTAGTAGAAATAATCCGTTACCTAAATATTTCAGTCTTATGAATATAATTTTGTTTGCCACATTTGTTGAGGTTTAAGGATAAGTAAGATTTATTGAATAAGTAACAACTGTTTGCTAAAGGAAAAGCAGGGTTTATGGGTTTGTTTGGTGTACTAACAGGTTTCAAAAAAACATTTGCTTTTATGCCTACGATCGGGATTAGATGACCAGTAATCAATAGAGTACCATTAAGGATTAGAGATGTACTTTACGTTATAGGCGTTTGTGAGCTGTAATTGGATAAACAAAGAAAAGTACGGAGATTTTATCTAAAATGCGGAGTAAATCTTTATGTAATCCACAATCGCATAGACCAGCACGACCCCGCCTTGAGTATTGTACTATTTAGTATTCTGTGGTAATATTCATATAATGAATTACGTATTTCAGCTATAAAATAGATAGATAGATAAAAAAAAAATTTTTTCGCATACAAAAGAATATTAATAAAAAACAATTAAATAATAAGGTGAAGTTATGCGTGGTCCTACATAAGAAATATTATATAGGCGTCGACTTGAAGAACCTACTCCGTTTTTTTCGTCGGTTAATTATTAAACAGTTAATATTTATTTAGTTTAACTATAAATAAGTTCATATAAATAATTTCAAAACAGTGTAGACACAAAAGGAGTGGAGGCAAAAGTCGTTATTAAATTCAGGATGCGGTTGGTAGGGTGCGCTAAGTAAAACAGGCTATTTAGCCCCCCGCAATTGGATTTTGAAAGTTACTTTCTATAGGTATACTTTCAAAGTTAAAAGGGAAGTGAAAATAGGAAGCCCGCAGGTATGGGATTATAAAAGTTATTTTCTACAATAAAGATTCAAATCAAAGTTATATACCTATTTGTGTTCTTATAACAAATTCAAATATTTTTTGTTATAAACTATAAAACAGGAAGATTATAATATTTGTCTTATTATAAAGTAGCCGTTAGAAACCAGTAAGATAAAACAGTCGTTTTGCAATAAGACATTGATGAATGTAGTAAAAAACATCGTATGGGTCGTATCGAAATTACTATGGCTGGGGTAGTGTGGCGAACGGAAATTGGAAATGCTGCATTAGTACGGGAATGTCACGATACCAGCAAGTTATGAGCTTTCCTAGTCTGTGTAGTTGCATTGGGGCAAAAAGTAATCGATGAGTTTATTCGATTAGACGTTTGTAACGAGTGCTTCTCTAAAGTAAACTGTAATCTATGTTCTTCTTAGCTCAAAGTAGTTATTTTTTAAAAAAAGCTTTAACTTTTCATATTGTTTTGCTTTAATTTGCACGTCCTTTTTTCTGCTCGTATTATTAACCAAAGAAAAAAATGCTTCTAATATTTTTATTGCAAAGCCCCAAAGAGAAAATTTAACGGAAAAACGTATTTCCTGGTGTAAATAACCTTTTGAATTTGTTTACACGTCGCTACACGAAGTGGGGTTGATAGTTGTGGCGCTCACCGCCGGCCACTCTCGCTAGGATTTCAATGGACCTACTTCGGGTTCTCACATAAAAAAAGTTTGCTATATCATTTCCGGAGCATAACACTTGACGAGCTACCCCGCGGGCGATGTCCGAGGTTTTAAATAAAGTTGATTCGTGGTTCTCGACTAGGTGTACGGGTATAATTAGCCGGGAGTGAGCAGTACCGCCACAGCGCCCGCGGGCTTGAGGGCTTATCAAATATGTACTCTACTACCTACCTGGCTCCTGTGTGCCGCCGGATTTATTTAGGATATGCATGAGGGTACGATTTAAATTTTAAACGGATTGCGCCCTTGGATTTTGGGCCTCTGTTATGTTTGGGAAATCTATCACTATAACACTGGTCGAGCGAAATTAATTTTAAAGCCCGCTCCGATTTGATTTATTACTAGTTGTTTTGGCGCCTGTAATCCAAGGTTAATATGGACGGGCGCTACGCGATAAAGGCTTATGTTCAATGTTCCATCGTGAAATAATGTTACCTAATTAAGTAGCGATTTAATAATGCAAAGCTTACCACGCTTTCACCAATTTCATGGGCTTTTAACGTTTTAATGAAAGAAAAACATTATGCGAGTGTGTTCCGTGAAACAACCTTACACATTGGCGAATGAAAAGCGTCAACTGAAATTGATAAGCAGTAAGTAGGTACTCACTGTTTTTTGTGAATGTGACTATCTTAAGCACCTTTCCGTATCGTTGGAAGATTGAGTATAGTACGTCGAGCACTATTGGGTATAACATGTGTTCAATGATCACGCGTAGCACTGTGTTGGGGCCACCCTGTGAATAAAAGAAAAGCTTTAGTTATTTTTTCTAAGACTACCAACAATAAATACAGACACAAATCTGAATATTTAAAAAGTATATCTGAAATCGTTTCTGAATTTTCAGTAGAATTCCAAACTACTAAGTGTGAGTTGTACCTCAGAGCTTTGTTAAAGTTGAATTTTACTTAAGCTTTAACTAGCCTCGGACAGTTAATTATCACTGTCAAATTATAATCTAATTTTGACTTTTTTTAATGGTGCAACCCATTTTTTACCTAACCGGTACTCCAAGTGAACAGTTAAAGTTAAAGTAAGTTGGTGCAACTCTCGCTTAATTAGTTTAATATTGTAGTTCAGTATACAAAAATAAATTTATATGAAATTTTACAACAAAGCGGGTAAATTTAGGGAAACTTTTAATACAATGGTTCATTTGTAATGTGAAATATTAAAAGTGCAATGTAGAAATTTTCAGTTACACAATCGCCCTGATATTAGCAAAACCGAATATGGAAACGGAAACAATGGACATTGTATTACAATTTTCCATAACAAAAGTAAAAGTTACATATTTGCTTTTTTGCCATACAAAGAGATTTGGAATATGTATTTTACGGTTAAACAAAGAAAGTGTTGAAAGAGGAAACTCGTAATGGGTATACAGAGTACTGTAAAATACATTTTCGTAAAATTATAAAATCTAAAATCATTTATTTAGTAGCGTAGCAGTTAATTTGAAGACTTGAATATAACGATATTGCGATGCAATAAATTAGGGTGAATACTTTATAACAAAACACGTCGACAAATAAGAACATACAACAATTGATGCTCTACGAACGCCTGAAGGGAATAATAGGTAACAAAACATTTTTAACCTAAATAAATCCGACTTCATAAAAACAAAACAACATATAATTAAGAAATAGTACATTTTCTTTACTTAAGTCTAAAGTAGGTACTTAAGACTTATGTAAAGACGACAACCTGAGTAGTAGCTGGAAACTCCCAATATTAATTTGACTTTGAAGTGCTTTAGACTTAAGTAAAGAAAACGTATTATTTCTTATTTTTTTGTGGCTTTGTTCATCAAAATCAGTCAGCAAATCTCGGACATATGCGCAATAACACAATAAAAATAAGAAAAGCTAATTAAGAACCTCCTATGTTCTGAAGTCGGTTAAAAACACTATTCACATCAACAATTCCATATTACATTAAATAAGCGATAAATATAATCCCTCTCACAGAATTGTTTACAACTCAAAACGTCCTAAGCCTAAATACCCCGGGGCTTGATAAAAAGCTTGCACCTTAAGTGATACCCGTAACATCTCTCCGAGATATAGGCACATAGAGTGAAGTGTATATTGACCGATGGGTATTTAGACGTTAAGTCTGCTCTTCCGGCGACAATCCCGGCTTGCAGCTTCGACTTGTAGCCAAGAAGGGTAGCCACTAGGGAAAGGATCTGATTTCAGCGTCTAATATTTAAGTTAGGTTTATAATCAGCCTTGTTTTGCTACTAAGCTGACTGGAGCTTTGAGTCCCCTTTGTGTATTCAAGGTGATTATACATATTTTACCGAGCTCTATGTACACGGCGTAGGTTGTTAGTTTATATTATGAACTAATATCAAATTATGATGAAAGTTTTCAGTAGTCCTAGTAATTATTTCATGACGGTTTCGTTTCGAAAACTATATTATTAAAGAATTTTTGATTGCTTGATTTTACTGCTGAAACGATACTAGAAGAAAACTTGGCCCAGTAAGGAGGCTAGATGATTTTGATGAAGCTTAACTAAATACAGAATGGGTAACGCTCTCAAAACTGTAACTGAATAAAACGAAAAATTATTTGATCAAACAATTTAAATAGCAGTTACAGCTGTTAACGATAGCTGTTTTCAAATGCATATAAAAGTTTGTTTATTCAGTCACAATTAACCAAAAAGTACAAAAGTTTTAAATTATCAGAGTAAAATGGAAGCTGCGGGATTCATTCTGATGCAGTAGTTTCAGATTTCACTCGCAGCAACGTTTTTTCCCCGAATCCGTTGTTAAGCCACTTTTTCTGTCTTCAGCGACCGAGTAACTGGCACGCATAGTGTGGTTGGACCTCAAAAATACTACTTTGGGACCAAAAACAAGGCTAGCTAACACTGAAATATCATCATATTATAATACATGTTAATGTTTTCTCTCAGATATACCGCAAAGAATATGTAGCGCAATTTATACAACGTAAACGTGCTTAAAGAAGTTTAACAACTTTTAATTTGAATCGAGTTGATGATTATATTTTTTTTATTTAGAGCATTAAACTTGCTAGATAGTTGTATAGAAAAATTTTCTAGTAAAATTTTCTTTATATTTAAGTTAATGACAGGAAATGTTAGTATGTTAAATACGTGCATTTGTACCTTAGTCATGGATGTTGTATGTGTAAATGTATCAGAATTATGTACATATTCTATCCGTTACCCTAGCATCCCCTTACACAAGCCTTTCAGTACTTATTTTGGAGCTAGGCTAATAAAATTAGTGTGAGTGTAGGATATGCGAGGTGGTCAAAAACTCGTGGATCAAACGAAATAGGGAGATAAACGAGGTTATTTCCAACAAAGCATTACAGCAACAAAGCTTTCACCAGCATGGCCATAACTTCATTTCACGAAAAGTTATAAATATTTTTGTTTTTTTAATGAAACTACTGATTTTTTTACAATTTAATCAATAAAAAAAATTTAATGAAAACAATAAAACAAAAAGTGATGTATTATGACTGGATTATGTATCAATACTACAGAAATTGTATTGAAGCTCTTGGTATCAAATTTAACGTGTACAATAGAATTTCTGTAGTATTGATAAATAATCCAGTCATAATACAACACCTTTTGTTTTATTGTTTTTAAACAATTTACTTTTTAATGATTAAATTGTAAAAAAAATATATTGATATAAACAAAAATATGCATACCTTTTCGTGCAACGAAGTTATGGCCATACTGGTGAAAGATTTTTTTTGGAAATTATCTCCTTTATCTCCCTGTTTCGTTTGATCCACGACTTCTTGACCACCCTGTTTTTATTTATTACCTGTATCTCTGTGCCCCCATTGGCGGGCTGTAGGGCTGCGCCCGCGCCTGCTACGAGCGCCGCGCCCGCGCTGTTGGAGATGGCCTGCGCTGCCTGGAGCGCTGCCTGCGCCGACGCTGACTGTACGAGGGATAACTATTTTATAGGCAGCGGCAAACTTCTTGAGCAAAACCACAGACAGATAAACTTGCCCAGTAGACGTTTTTGGAGGAAAAGTTGCTACTGCGCAGGCTTCCTTGTCTATGGTCTTTGCTCAAGAAGTTTGAAGGGATTTATACTTGTTACGAATAAAGGCTGTAGGCACTCTGTTAGATTAAACAACAAATCTTATTTTTGACTATTACTAAAGTCTTCTATTTATCAGGTCAAAATTAATAGAAAATCTAATATTACTTATTAACATTTATTTGAAAAAAAAAAGGTTTAGAAATTGTCGTATTCAAGTTTTTTTATTAGAAATGTATTTTATGAGTAATCTACATTTGGTAAAGGAACAACAGTCAAACATGCGTAAAGCAAAAGAAATGATGGATTTAACTACAACACAAACGTAGAAATAGTGAAAAAAGGATCGAAATGGTGGAATTTGTTTTAAATGTAGCCTGATTTTTGTGAAAATAGTGTCTAACTTTAAGTTAGGCACTGTTTTAATTCAAAACAAATTCTGTCAATGAGATTAACAACACATACAAATATTCTATTAGCGAACAAGTAATCTACTGGTCTGTGTTTATCGTTATAATAAGGGAAAAATACAACACAGTATCAACACACACGCATTGAAATAATGTAACAATGTTCCTCCGGGAAATAAAAACGTGGTCACGTACAAAAACTAAACATGTCCGCTGCTCTCGTAACTCTAACAATGAGACCAGTATGAGAGTTATCTTGTGAATGCGTGAGCCACCTTGAGTGCTAACGCCGGAGATAACATTGACCACGCCGAATAAAGGGGCCGCCCATAAACTTATTTTGTATCAAACAACAATTCGCTACTTTGTTACGTGTTAGCGCAGACAGCCCTAGTCGTTAACCATTTGTGAGGAACGACATTAAATAATTGGTAGCGGTTACGAGGAAATTTATGCTGTTGCATTGTAAAAAATATATGGTGGTTAAGTACACAAAAGACGAGCGAGAGAGCGATGCAAGCGGAGCCCTGAGCTTGTTTACTGACTGACTGGGCTTTAAATATTAACCATTATAAAGCACATATTATTTTAAAAGACAAAGTAATGTTTCCGTGTAAATACACGAACACTTCGAAATACATTCAAACAAAATAAAATCGTTAGTAAAGGCATCCATTTAGATACCTTTATTAACGAATTTGAGGAAAAATATACTACTTACTGAATACCTTTTATGGACTGAAACTAAAAACATCGGGAACAAATTCGCCCGGTCAATTTTTATAGCATTGTTAAAGTCTCGGCTCTGTAACCGTTGTCTTTCGAGACGCAATCCTTTGAGCGGCGTTGCTTTGCAGCCTTGTTTTCACATTACGCCCGTGCAGGGGTTCGCGTGGCTTTGTGCGAGACGGGCTGACAAGCGGGCAGGGCAGACAAAAATAAGGCTTTGACAATGTCATGGTAAGCCTGCCGTCGACGGCAAAGGCCCTACAAATTCGTGTTGACTTGACCCCCTTTCACCGTATTCATCAGTGTGTATGGACCATTTCGTGCGTGATATTGATTTGTTCAGTACTAAAATGAAAAATTTGTTACCTACTTCTAAACGAAGTCGATTCTATTTTATTCTTACAACGTTCCAAGATCGATTTCACCCACATGCACAGAGGTGGTAAATATAAATACCTATCGAAAAATGTCGGGTTTCGTTCAGATATGGCGATCCGAAATATTTTACGGGTCCCAGTGCCAAGTTGCGCGCCAGAAACCTCAAGTTATTTAAAAGATGCAAAGTCTTGCTATGAGCGACCGTAGCCCAGACGGTTGACAACAAAATGACTGAGTCGAATCCCGATATTCATCACAAAAACCATTCGCATCGCATGACTGATCAAAGTCACTATATCCCGCAAATATTCTTCTAGGTATTTATATTTAATACCAGATTTCTCAAAGCGGATTCTCCTTAACTACAAGCTACGAAGACACGTAGTCGTAGCATTTACGACGAAAGTTGTTTCATAATTCTAATGTAACTCAGCCTTTGAAACGTTCCGGTCGCTAACAGTCTATACATGAGTCCATTTCGTAACTTGCTCATTATAAGTTTTAATAGTGTGCTCAGTGACTGATAAAAGAAGATGTATACGTCACTGTCTTATTGCAACAATATTTGAACTCCCTCAACATTTTGGATCGTGCCTTCTTGTCACTCGGTTTGTTAAGTTTTTCACATAATATTAAATAAATATATTTTGTGAGATAGAAAACTAAATAATTAGATTGTAAATAAACCCGGAATTGCAATACCTAGTGATTATTCTCAGTAGAGTAGATACTTATGAAAATATTTCAACTTTCACAACAATTTATACTTAAATTTAAAATGTCTGCGTCTAAAAGTCTCAGCGGAAGACGAGTCGTATAATGGTGGCAAGACGACACCGAGCAGCATCATTATAGAGCGAGATCAGTAAAATGGAGCACCGGTGACAGGTCAACATCACAATGCCAGCTTTTATACGTAGAACATCGAACATCGAATATTTCAATGCTTCGACAATAATTATTTAGAGTGTCTGAAACGTACTTCGATTTATCAGTCGATTATAAACTTGTATTGCTGTCGACATTCTTCGGATACGTTTTGACGCAGTGGGGTGTAGGTCAATAGAATAACAGTATAGTTAGCTTATATATACCATGCTTGAGTGGCATCATAGAATGACTACTAGGATATCAGTAAAGAGTAGGAAGTCAAATCACTGTAGTCAAACAACTGTGGTCTAGTTATGTTGGATGGTATTGATGTTTTCATACAAAACTTTCCGTCCAGCATACTCAGACACCTTGTATTCGAGATAAGTAATTTTGAATGAATGAAGGATGGGATAGACGAAAGAATATGCGTAAGCGCGTTTACTTATGATCTCCTATTCCTTGTGTCAATTTATATCCTTGATTTGTTAAAAATTTACAATTTAAATTAATTCCATCAGAAACACTTCTATTACAAGTAACGTCCGGGAGGGTAACAAAAAAAGCTTTTTGAATGCACTTGCTCATAAAAGTGTTCTTTTATAATAATAATAATAATAAAATCATTTATTGCAGGTAGCTAAGACCCATATTTAAAACATGATACAATATAATATAAAAACTAAAAAAAAATACATTTATATTTAGATTTTTAAGTGATTCTTTTCTGTACGTGTGCGAAAAAGTATTTCTTAAACCTTGCGCCACGCAACATTGTGTTCATTTGTATTTTTTTATAAACAGCTACATCAAGTTACCTCCTTGGTTCCCATGGTTCAGGGTAAAAGATAGTTCCATTTTTAAATTACACGACATATATTAGTTTAGTATGAAAGTAATATATACAAATGGGTTATATTTTATTCTATTTTCACGCAAAATACGTTGAAATATGTTGTACATATTACACGTGAGCGCAAAAGGTTATTACCGCGTAATAACCTACTTTCCGCACTTGTATCTTATATAACTATTCAAGAAAGGTGGATGTTTATCTGGGATTTTCTAATTTCTATAGCACTAGGAGAAGAAATTTTACATTTGATTTGTAATGTTTTATGATCAATAGACAAGTTATGATTTCTCTTTTGAAATGTTATCCAAGATAACCTTATTATTAATTTTTATTTAAAGAGACTTAAATTGTAAAAATGTTGACTTTATAATTACTTTTTAATGATCGTGGTAATTCAGTTAACTATAACGACGAAATGTAAATAGGAACATGTAGCTGAAATTGTGTTAGTTATCTGCAGATCTGTCAATTAGTTTAATAACTGGGTCCCACAAAGCTGTTTAATAGGCGGCATTGTTTCATACCAGTATTTACCTACATCTCGAATACACAGATTCCGACAAACAGATAATAGACACCTATTTGTATCTGTTTAAGTTTAATCATCTCATTAATTAGCCATAATGTTGACTTAGAACCTTGTTTACCGTCGCCTATTCGATCAAAGCTATTGTTATTTATTATTTAATAATACATATGAATGATGGTTGATAATCATCACTATTGCCATCAGTTTGTCATTGGTGTTTGATAATTCAAATAAATATCTTAATATAATTCTCACGACCTTATTTAATATTGATAATAATAATTATGTAAAGCTAACATTACCTACATAGAAACACGAATATATATATTGGTAGCTTTGCCGCTAATTAGAGCGTCTTCATGTAAATGATTTAAAAACAACAATAATGTATTAACCCAAGCAGAAATCTAAAATACGTAAACAGATGTTATGTAGAAAACACTCATGTGATTTCCATAAATAAAATGTTTTGGAGGATTCAATAATATCGAAATGATACAAGCATTCGTACCTACATTAAATTATCACGTTCAAATGACTCTCACCCTCAAACATGTTGAATGTAAAACACTTGTAGCAGTCGAGTATCTTCTCTCTATTGTTTTCAGATAAATTATGGTAAGAAATATCTCATCACTCGATATTATCAGGCATCAAATGATCGAGGGTTTGCATTTGATAGGTTTCTCGGATAAACGAAACTAATTAAGTGTTTTAATTAATCCTCCCATTGGGTGTTTTGTTACAGAAAATATTGATTTACTTTCCCGTATTTGCCCTCAAGGGTGGAAGGTAAATCTCATCGGTGGTTACTACACACTATCCTCAGAAAAAGTTATTTATCCACTTATTACAAAAGCGGTGCAAATAATGAGCGATGTCTAATTGTGAGCGCGAAATTAATTAAGGAAAACAATCTACGGCAGGTGGCAACAAGAGACAGCACTAAAAGGGTTTAGTAAAATTTTTAGTGTCAGCCGACGCTGTGAAACGTTAATTTTATACAAGCCGTAAGCCATGCCGGACTGACGATGCTGTGCAAGAGCAAAATAAAAACCCATTCGACATAGTTTTTATTGCCTGCAAGAGACGCGCGCTAGTTTAGTTTTAGACGTGTACTACGTTAATGTGCTAACCTGGCAAAATGAATGAAAAGTAGCCAGTTGAAATTAAAAAAGAAGGCTATTGATTATCTGGCTCACACGCATGTTGTGTCTCCTTATCAAAACAGAATGGGACGAAACAGTCTTAGTTGGGTAACTCAATCAAAATCGGAACAACGTCGCCTGTCCGTCCCACGTGGCATGCGGGTTTATTGAATACTGTTATCTAAATTGTGGGTTCTTGATGCCCCTAACAAAGATTAAATTAACAGGTCGACTGCAGGCCGCAGCCGGGGGGTTGAATTTCCCAATTGGTTACCTCGGCTTTAATGCTCCATCGCATACGCTACGATAATCCGCTTGTAGAGTTGTAATAGGGCTAATTGAACTACCGTTATGTTATTAGTGGGAATACATGCTCCGAACCGGATTTCAAATGTTTACCGCGAAAACAGTATCGATTTATGCCTCGCAAGAATGAAATGCAATATCCGTATTCTATGAACGCATACGGTTTTGCATTATTACTATTTATTATTAGGTATTTGTTATACCAGCCACTTAACTGTGGGTTTTTATTGTAAGTGTGCTAATCTCCGACTAGTTTCTACATAAGCGTTGATAAATAGAAAAGTACTATAAGTGCTAATCGGTAGTGAAAATTACGATTGTGTTTATCTTATTAATTTATGCAGTGATTCGTCATGCAACCGTGTAAAGTATTATAGAAAAAGCCAAACGATAATATTGAATAAAGACGTAATAAAATTATTACAGTTGGTTAACTTACAGTGATAATACTTACAGCATTGCTGTGCGTCTGGTCTGTCTTGAGCTCTTTGTGGTTGGAGAATTGGACGTAGACGGCGCGCCCGCGCAGCTGCGCGACGCATCCGCCGAAGTACGCCACCATCGCCACTGCCGAAATCTCCTCCGCCATTTCGAGGAATGCCTGACGTAAAAAAAAACATCATCATATACGGAAATTAAACAATATCAATAGTTTCAAATTGAATTGTTAATGTTACACGTTAGCTGAGGAGTCCCTTTGTCGGTCTGTTGTGTTTGGAGCCTGATTGAGTTAGACATTTTAAATGGGTATGCTTTATTATTTATGTAAATTTTATAATGAGTGTTTCAAGGTGAGTACAGAAATGAATTATTTTTATTCTTGAGTAATTCTCATCCAAATATACAAAATTGGACCAGCGTTCCGTGTATCAAACACCATTTTCCCGCTTTTCCGTCAAATATCAAATCAACAAGATAGATTTTTTTTACTACTTTTCGTGATTTAATTATGCTTTCATTATCCTCTAATCCTAATCTATGCAACCTATTTAAATGCGGTTTCTACAACCGGTTAGATAATTATTCACAGGCGGTCTATGTTATCATCAGAAAGCTATGTACACCGAAACGTAGAGGCAGGTCACTAATTAAACGCGATTATAGGCTACCCTTGATATTCAACCCTTTAACCGTCGTCCCACAATCTATAGATACACATAAGAATTCTTAATCCATAAGTTTCGTAAATTGAACAGGCAGTTTGATTCCTTAAGACTGAAAACATAACAATTGCTTTTAAAAAGAGCTTTCGTATCACAACTAAGTCTTAATTGGGTTTCAATATCTTCTTGTTATTCAATGTGAACAGAACATACACATTCTAAAGTCGTGTTTCCCTTCAACTTGACAATGTTGTTAATACTATTTAAGTATACCTGGATTGCAGCTCAAGTGTCCGTAGTACTTCCTGCAGTTCACTATACAGTAAACAACGAAGAGCTTTCGGATTCCATTTAATCGGCTCCGACCATATATAAACTTGGTAGCCAAACTACATGGATAAATTTCAGCATGCGGGATCCATAATTGTAGGTGCGTCATAATTTCAACCATCATTTTCGGTTGGGTTTTCGCTATGTGCGTACAATTTCACATGCTCGCAAGCAGATCGTAACCACAGGACCCTGCTTTTGGCATTTCAACGCGCCTGACCGTATAGGACACAACATTAAAAGCTCTCGTTGCCGCAGATTAAATAGAATACACGGCTGAGGTTTATTAAAAAACAAATAGCGAGAGTGAACGCAGTAGGAAATAGGACAGCTTTTCAAAACTCTCTCTCTATGCCGAGATATAAAAAGCGTGTAAAGAAGGATGATGAATGCATGATGAACTAATTTCGATAATAGCGTACGCAGACGAGGGACTTCTGTCCGCAGGTGACTTTTGTCGCACACGACGGATTAAAAATATCGCGGATAAAATGTCCCCCGAACTACCGCGGACACCGAAGTACTGGACACGACAAAAGTACGCGAGAGTCCGCGTAGTAGCGTGAGTGATTTCAGTGATTAAATCAACCTCAAATATGTTGTGCTTCTGTTTTGCATCGCTTTACGCTTAAGCTATATTTTAATTATCTTTCAGGAAGATCGTGAAACATTGTCTTATTCAATATTATTGTGAAAGCATAAAAAATAATCTCAACAATACAAATAAATAATCAATCCGATATAGAGGGATGGACCCGGTGTTCCCTTTTAGAACATTTTCCCTTTTCCTTAAACTTTATGTTAATTACAATACAACGTCAGAATATTGTTTCCATAGCGTGCGCCTCACACAATTTTTCGGGGACAAATGTCCGTAAACCGTGCGCTTTGAGTCTGTGATAAGTCATCGGCGGACAATTTTTTCATAATACGCGGACAAAAGTCGGTCGTCTGCGCTGTCCATAAGTCAGACACGCTTTTCTCTAGTGTAATTTAATTACGATTATGATTTCTTTTCTAGATGAATTTCGTATAATAAGACCTAAGTAATATAAAACCACAATATAATTATATTGTTTCCATGTGTAATTTATTTTTAATGAAATGTTGTAGCCCTACGGTCGGATCAATGCGACGCAAATTAATGAGTGTAACCAATATGACACGATACATGGTGATAAAATTGTGAAGCTATCTCTTTCAGTTTAATCACGGAGAGTAGGCGATTGTTGCGTCCACTCGCCGTGTTTGCCCGCCTCTCCACAGACGGCACCTTTGTAACCGGACCTCCGGGCTTCAGTTTTCATCTACTATGGATACTTTCCATCATCCTCTCATGCGTCAAAGGTAAAATCTCGTGTGAAGTATTTTCCTTTATTATTAGCTAGCGCTTCGAATGACCAAAATGGATTTCAGGATATCGTTTCTTTTACGTATAATTTGATTGAAATTTCAGAGTTTATATTAAAAGAAACTAAGTAGCTACTGGAAATCTTTCACGAAGTAAAAACTTATAAAACTTTCCCAGCGCTTTGCACCTTAAGCATGGAACGTGGCTCTGGAAAAGATACGGAATATTTCATGACAAAAAAGCAAGCAAAGAGACTGTGACCGTTCATAAAAAGGGATTCGACTCGTTTCTCGCGGTAGAAGAGAGATTGTTTTCCTTCACGCCACGGTATATAGCGAAGGATGTCATACGGGCTATTTATTAGACGGGATAACATTGTCGTGGCGGCCGTAGCCTCCCCTACCTTAATGGGATTTTCTTTTATCATTTTATTTCTCGGCTGTAAACTAACTCATTTTTAATTTGTCAGCGGTCGCACACCGTTATTCGCATTGCAAGTGAGCGTAAATAAAGGCCGACAGTAAAACTGGACGTCTAATAACCCGTTCTGGCATATAGTCGGTGCTGACAATGTGGACGTGTTATTTGATGGATTACTGACTACCGTACGACATGTTTACGGTACGACACATTTTGATATAGGTGATTCATAACGGTACATTGTAGACGCTCGCATCACATTGATGGAGCCTCGATTTAACTGTATGAAAGATATGTCTAATATTTCACGATACGCAAAATTATTTTCTTGCAAGTAAGTATAATGTCAGAAATGACAATAATTTAACCACATACAACAGGAACCTGCCTACGTTTGCATATTCATTGAGCTTTTCCCGACCCAAAATTTAATTTTATCTCAAATTTCTCGTCGTCCGCCCACTTAATTTCCGCGAAACATGATTTTTGATGCAATCTCGTGATCGGGGTCATTCCGCGATATTCTCCTTGGTAAAGAGTAAAAGGAAAATGTAAGTAGACAACGTCAAATAAGCTTAATTTTGTAATATGGTGTGCTTGACATCGCGTGTTCCAAGTCATTTTACTTTAGCTGTTTCATGGTTCTATCTCAGAATAGTGTTAGTTTAGGTACAAGATAATTTAAGTATGTATGTAAAGAACAATAATGAAGAATTGGTAGAACATTTACTCCAATTTAGATGTTTAATAACCTAGTAACACTCGAATTTATACAATGTATACATACAATAAAATGGTAGGAAAGTCAAAACTGTACATTGAATTTTTTTTTTAAGTATATTTGGGGTGTGATCTACAATGGATATCGAAGCCAAAAATATAGTTTTTAGAATTTTTATCTGTTTGTCTTTATGTATGTCCGGGATAAACTCAAAAAGTACCGCATGGATTTACTTCAAATTTGGCAAGAATATTATTAAGAAATCGGGTCAACATATAGGCTCCATATTATCACGCTACCATCTACGGGGAACGAGCAGTGAACCTTTATTTCTAACTAACTCCACGCGTACGTTTTTCTAAATGCGTTGTGGAAGTATTGAAAATGTAATATTACCCGATCCTTTTAGATTAGTTTTTGTAATATCTTATATTTTCCAAGATGAAGATCCGTTAGATTTTTTGGATAAAATGTTTAGTGCTATCATATATTTCTAATTTGTTACCCTATGTTTTAATTTGTACTGTACTTTGTTGTTGTAAGTTATAACTCAAAAAGAAAAAAGCGTGTTCAAATAACGTAGAACATACATTCCAGGTCTGACCTCCTTTATGCTAGCAATGCCTAGTCATCATTATCTTTAAATTTGTACTGTACCTAATTTGTTGTTGTAATAGTGAAGAAAAAAAGCGCGACCAAAGAGCGCAGAACATACTAGGTCTGACCTCCTTTAAGCGAGCTATGCCTAGTCATTATAGGTGAAATAAAACGGAATACAAGTAGGTAGAGGACGGCGTGGCATCGTCGGCCTATTTGCGGCAGACCGCACCACCCACTTGTTGTGCTTCCGGAGCGACAGACATTGTGAACAGTGTTACATAGCCGAGTTAATTTACTAAATGAGGGTAGCGCGATCTCTTTTCATGTTCCTTGTGAGTGGCGACCGATTCTGATGTAACGGAAATCATAGGTGAAATAGAAAGAAATGGCAGCAGGAAATATTGTTGAGGATACAAGGAACTATAGGTAATTGCATTTGCAAACTATAGGTTTTTTTTGTAAATATAATATACGAATTGTACTGTACAAACATGAAAATTTATTTACTTATATATCTACATACAATAAGGTTAACATTGGTATAAGTAGTGTGTTTTGTACAATGCTAAGAATTAAGTGTAAAAAAAAAATCAATAAGTATCTAATAGTTATAATAAAGTTTGAATGACTGATCAAAAAAGTCTTTAAGGTTTTTAATTATTCACGTAACAGTATTATAATTAAAAACGCTTGGCGTATTGCAATATTTCATCATAATGAGAGTTAGGATATTATTTTAATAAAGCTTGTTGTGACCCCGAATAAAACCTTCTTTCTTTTGTATTACAATTTATTTTTAAAATTTTCACTGAAACATGTAATTTGTTAAATTTATAATAACAAAATAACAATCACCATGACAACATAATATATTCAAAAAACTATCAAAAAGAAATAACTTGTAATATCAAATAAAGGTTTTTTTCGGTTTATCAACAAAGCTAATAAACGTATATAATAACGATTACTGAGAACTGAGCATTAGAGACTCCATCGTATTCTTCGAGTTCAGTGAAAATGTTCAATAGCTTTTAAATGATAACAGTACTAACAATACGATTTTCTCTAGAGATGGACAAACAGATTCTGGAGGATGTTGTGTTTGTTTGGGTGAAGGGAGTTGCACTAGCCTCCTTATTGATGTTTGCTTAGTTGAACAGGCTGCCCAAGGAAAATATTTCTTTTATCTAGATAAATTTATTTTGTCCGCAATAAACAATTCCCTTTAAAGCGACTACTTCTACTAACACTCCTAGCAATGTTTGTAAATATTAAAACTTTCTTTCGTAAGTTCATTAATTAATGACGTAATACCCGTTTAACTTATTTGGATAATAAATCAGTGCAGTTAGTTCATTTAAATTAAAGAGATAAAAAAAATGTTGGATTCTCAACAAACAAACTACAGGCCGTTTTAGCACATGAGGTATTATAAGTTTCCAGTGTTTTTTCTAATTTTTGAAATCTATGCGTAGCAAATTCTAGTAAAATAAAAAGTTTATAACGAACTACATTTCAATTTAAAAGTTACATTAAACATTGCTAGAATAATAATTAGACTTCAGTAAATGATAACTTCAGTATTTAACGTTGTTAGTTATCTTCTAGGCTGATTGACAGACCACACATTTATTTAATTTACTTTAAATATAGATTACTTAGTACATTCAAATGTATCCTGATTTCCAAACTAAATGTTCTTTAGATCACAGTATTGGCAATCAATAATAAAGTAAGTATTAATTTGTTTTAACTTATAATAAAGCCGGGTTGGTCTAAAAAGCCAAAGGTTAGTGATGAATCACGTATAGAATATTATGATGGATCGGGTTTATCTTTTAATAATTTAAATAAATTGAGCATTATTTCAATGTTTTGTTGTGTGGAACTGTTCTGTAACTCCCAAGTGATAGATAAGGGGGCTTGGACAAGTGGTCTTCTTTCTATTCGAAGGATCGATATTGCTAACTTTTTAAAATTAAAATTAAATCAATTACTTGATTTAATCATCATGTTTATAGAAAAAGTTAAAAAAGAGTGTGCTTATGACCACACGACTGAAGTAAAACTTCTTTAGCTTCACCTGTATGTACGTATATATATATGTGTACAATATATACATGTATGTACATATACATATTTCATTTTCTAGCTATAAGAGAAAGAGAAAGAAAATGTGCGCGCGCACTGCTTTCTCTTGCTTATATCCCCCACTCAACTCCCGTTCGCCTCGCCCGAACACACATCGTAACGCGTAACGCATTCGCCAGCTTACCCTCCAAGTCAAGCGTGCGTAAAAAAGTTTCACTTCATAAGCGGCCAAATGCGAGACTCTCGCACGAAGGTTCCCGTACCATTATCTATACAACATTAAACGTGAGTAGACACTATATTATAATATCGAGCGAAAAACTGTAAAAAGATAACTTTTGTCGTATGGAAGCCCCAGTTACACATTTAATTCTGTTTTTAGTATTTTGTTGTTAAACGCAGAAACAGAAATACATCATTTGTGAGAATTTCAACTGTCTAGCTATCACGGTTCATGAGATACAGGCTGGTGACACAGAGACGCACAGTGGAGTCTTATTATTGGGGTCCCGTTTTTACCTTTTGGGTACTAGAAACCTAAAGAGACTTATTGTGCGAAATTAAGAAGCTTGAAGTACACATGAATTAGAAGTTTATTTAAGATTACATAATGCTCAATTTTTGACATCGAAGCGAGGAGAACCGAGGTCCCCCTAGTGCTTGTCGGGAGTGCGGGTTGAAACTGTGGGAACGAAGTACTCCGCGGCCCCGTCGGTGATTGTCCTTAGCCGGACCCACCTAAGGTAATAAAGTTTGCCCTTACCCAACCCTTACCTGATTTTTGCCTTTGAGAACGAGCACGTTGGTGACCCTGCCGAATGGTAGGCCGAGCTGTATGATCTCAGCCTCTGTCGTTTCGTTGGGGATGTTCCGTATGTGGATAACGCGGGACGGCTTGCCCACATTTTGTTCCAGTTTCACCTGATGACAAAAGAAAACCACCATGATTCACTTGCTAGAGTGTTAATACTTATGAAAAGTAAGTTATGTATTGCTTCTTGTAATATTTTACTGTTTGTGTAAGTAATTTCTAGAAGTCGAGTTTTGTTCAGAAGTAATGAACAGAGCGTGTTGATTGTTATTAGTATTATACCAAAATATTAATAGTTTCTGCTATACAGATCATAAATACTTAATGATATAAAATTAAATTATCCAGTACTTTCTGTGGTTAAAACCAGTATTCACTCAGGATTAGTGTTTTTTTATATTTACCAATTCAGCAGATCCCTAAACGGCACAATTGAATCATGCGGCAGCATTTTAATACTCATAATACCTACCTACATATAAATAAATCAATTAATGTTGGGCTCCAAAAGCGACGTCTAAACGGTGCGCAAATGACCGCTCTAATATACATAAATAAACCAAGCATTGTTCACGAGGAAGAGCCGCCTGGATAATTGAAAAGTCGATGTAGTATAATTGTCGAGGCTTATCGGGCCAACCCCGATGTGGGTGCCATTGTTCCCCGGAGAGGCTTTTGATTACAGCGGCGGGCCGAACCGAGCTCCAAATATATTGTAGCATTGTATGACACTCCACTTTCCATTGACGCGAAAAGATCAACCTGCGCGGTGACAATTTCACTTGAGCGCTAAATAAAGAACCGTTGTCTCAAGACCCTGCCATTAAATCTATTCTTACAAGATTTCCTTGGAAAACTCGGGTGGCATTCGAGTTCAACAAGATTTCGGGAGTGGTGTACCATCTATCCCCCTATTTTTACGTTCTTTGGCGGGCGGCGAAGCGTGGAGGTGTAACAAATGAGTCTAATGCCTATTAGTTCGACTTTGTTAAGTTCAGACAAAGTGAGCAGCCGCTTTAGCGAAAGTATGGGACAAGTTGTATTACTTTCTGAACTGTTCTCATATAGACATCTTAATCTGTAACTCTTAATGAGAAGGATTTTAGTTGTTTGTTCGAAAAGTATGCGGTATAACAAGTTGATCCTTGGCTTATGGTTCATATTTTTTTTAGGAAACAAAGTTTTGTTTTATTACGGAACAGAATACTTGGAGAGATGATGATGTAGAGCTCCGATTTGAGAATAATCCAAAGCGCTTTACAAACATTTTTCTTTTGGTATAAAATTGATGTTTTCCTTTCTCAGCACAAATGTCAGCACTTATGAGTAATAAAAATGTTGTAACTGTTGCACTGTCAATATAGGTAAAAAGAGCCAAAATCTCCGCAAAAATTTTTTTTTATTCAACACGGAAGCAAAGGGAGGAATAAATCTCGAAAGGTGCTCTTTCACCTCGAGTGTACATTTCGGTATTTTCTCTTTCGACGAAAGAAAACAACTGGTACGTATAACGCAAAGGAGGACATTACTTTCGCTGGGTCAGAAAATCTGCGAGGAGCGATTTCCACATCAGACATTTTAAATCATTCGCTCGGTCTCACATTTCATCCATGAATATTAAATCTTGGCTTGGTTGCTGAGATAGAAAAAAAGGAGATATCGTTTGACGTTTCCCTGAGAGGATTTCCCGGAATCGGTCAATTTTCCCGGTGATCGCGTCGCCTGTGTTTATTGAAACACTATTTCTCAGTTGGCCGCCTCCGAGCGCACCGTCATTAGCTATATCACCCACCCGATGTTGGTAATCACCTTACAGTCTTCTTCGAATCTAAGGTAACAAATATCGATTTATGTTACGGCTACACTGATAATGATTAATCAGTAATGCCATTTAAATACTATCGCTAATTAGCTGACAAAACTAACTTAATCCTGTTTAGTGGTTTATTCATACTTTTACTCGTATTTCTTTCATCTTTTTATGCATTTTATAAAAACTTAGTAAAGCGTGTGATTTTTATCGTATTTTGTTCTATTTACATTTTCGCAAGTAAAAAATCTTTGTATTTAGGCGGTTTCGGTATATTTTACTTTAGGTAAGTTAATGGAGTTGGCCGTCAGATCTTCGAGAAAGTAAACATAATTTCGTCATCAAAAGACTCCATTCCGTAGATAAACTTTAATTTTTAATTTGAAAGTTTTATATGTATATTTTAGTATCACTTCAGCCAATACTTATACCATCTGCAGTTACTTATTTATTATTTGTATTTTTCAGATCTTAACATTCCTTTGACGGCTCCATCTTGCTTCAGAGATACAAAAATAATGACTGAGCAGCATCACGTAAATACTAGACAAAAAATCCAATCCTAATTATGTAAAACTAACAATGAAATGGGTAACCGTACATCAAGAATAATTTTGAGAGTTCGATCATAGCAAAATCTCGAATTGGACCGCCCGTTTAGAGAAGTAAAACGTTATTTTTTGGCGAGGTCAAGTTTCTATCACTTTATAAGGATCCAGATTTCCACGGGATAGGCGATGGGGCCAGGGTAGGCAATGCGCGCTTTATAATCTGGTACCCAATCGTTTTTGAAGTGAAACTTCTTTACTTCTTAACTTGGGGGTTAAGCTGGCGAATGCGTTACGCGTTACAAAAAGTGTGTTCGGGCGAGTCAAACGGGAGTTGAGTGGGGGATATAAGCAGGAGAAAGCAGGGTTAGCGTACTATTTCTTACTCTCTTTCTCTTATAGCTAGTAAATGAAATATTTATATGTACATACATGTATGTATTGTACACACATACCTATATATAAACATTCGGAGCTACAGAAGTTGCACTTCAGTCGTGTGGTCATAAGCACACTCGTTTTTTTTTATGTTCAAACAATGTGGCAAACAAGCGTATGGCCCGCGTGATAGTTAGCGGTCACCATAGCCTAACGCTTTCGATACTAAAAATATCACTCGTACTGTTGCATACTCTGACCCAATCCAACCCCGTGTGGAATCTTACACAGAAACACAGCACCACCAAAAGGTAGTGTCATTGTCACCTGACGGGTGCGCGGCCATTCGGAGACGGGTTTCGCGACCCGCCCTCTCGGCACGCACTAGGGGGACCGCGGTCCTCATAGTGCGTGTCTGGTGACGGTGCAGGAGTATTGTCTGGTTTTTATTGGCCCTGTTCAGGGCGTAGGTAGGGCTCTGTTCACATCAGCGAGCTCCAGGGCTGGCTGAAGGGGACGGGGAGGAGTCCCACATACCTTCTTCTCGCTCCCCCAGTGGTTGAAGGATGCGTAAGGCATTTTCCAGACACAAAAAAAGAAAAAAAAAGGTAGTGTTATTGTACTGTTTATTAAACTGTATGGTGGAGGTTACTTCCCCAAACGGGCGCTCCAATTCGAGCAGGAAATCCGCCACGGGCGTAGCTATTGTAATTCTATAAGATAAGGTGAGTGTTTACTATCAGGCGGCCTTGTTTTGCCTCCCTTTGACCTAAAAAAGTAGATGGATAAAAAGCATTTGATAGAAATCTTGACAAAATTCAGTGAGAGTGGCAACGACGTGTAATCCGCTTGCGGTGAGCGGCTAGACGTGGGTTGTGGAGGGCTCAGTCTGTGTAAACATCATCTAGTATCGTTATATTACCAATAAAGGTTCTTAATGGGCCGGTTCAAGTTTGTTCTTATATTTGTGGTAAATGTTTATACAACGATCGGATTAGGTTAATACTTTGTAGTGGGATGCACGACGTCATGTCGATGACGTATAAAAATGATTATTGTTTGAATATTTTATTTTCTTTAGGGTACATGTGTAACATATAATCGGATAATTTTCTTAACAAGCTAAATGTCATTGTAGAACATTATCGTATTGACCTACTTCCAATTACTATAAAAACCCTGTTTTCATCTCAATAAATATTCAGTTAAGACTCGACTCTTCCTGTGTTATTACTTGTCCCGACGCCGCACATCGCAACTTACCTATTGGTGAAGTATGGAACAAAACTAAGGCAAATTTTGATTTATTATCTTTACTGGCGGTCGCCTGCGATTTCTTATACGTTAACTTTAGTTTTCTGATATGGCCTCAGGTTTTCGGGATAAAAATTATCCTTTGTCTCAATCTAGGTAATGTCTAGTTTAATCCAAATTCGTTCAGCCGTTTACGGATTACGGTAGAATCTACTGTGTGATTAAAATTACGGTAATTTAATCCCACAGAAGAATACTCCCCAGTAAAATGTATTACCCTTTTTTACCCCGTTAGGCGTGGAGTCTTAAATAACCCCCATAATATGTTATTCTTTACTTCAGTATAAATATTAAGTTTAGAGTTAATCGAAATTCATCCATATAAAACTGCGGCACCCTCTAATACTCCATTTAGAGGTAGTTTAGGCAAACCAAAAATAGCAGACTTTTTAATTTATTTAGATAAGTATTCGTAACAAGTTTTAAGTCTATTAACTCAAAGAATAAAAAAAAACATACAAACTTTCACCCTTTTTTCCGGGACCAACGGCTTAACGTGCCTTCCGAAACACGGAGGAGCTCGAGATAGTAAATTTTCGGTCACCCATCCAATGACCACTGCGAAAGTTGCTTAAATTCAACGATCGAGCTCCTCCTCTGATTTGTCCATATGAAAAAATGTTACAACACTGCCGTAACCCCGTAGGTCTAGAGCCACGGAGCGGAGTAGTCGCCCTCCGGCTCTCGTGGCCGCTTTTGTATTGTTTTATGTTTTGCATGAAAATTTTAAACTTAAAATATAGGAATTAGGGCTTAACTTGAATTGTTAACTTCTTAGTATCTTCAACGTACCTCTCCCGCTGTGCGCTGCGTCTAAATTGATTGAAAGCGCGTGATTTTACAGGCTGGTGATGATGTACTTGTTTAAATATTAATATTGACATCGTATAGAAATAAGGTACATAGAGACAAAACAAAATTCAGAACATTCAAAAAGATCTATTGGTATTGGACCGGTAATCCTTAGTCTTTTTAAAGTTAAAATAATGACATCCTCAATAACCAGCGTTCATAATAGTAAATTTCAATCAAATAGATTTAATTGTTTCTGCAACTACAT